TTGAAACAGATTCTTATCAAACATTATTTATGCAACATAACCAAGTTTGATTTGCTTTGAAAAAGCAGCTTTTTGGAATTTTCGGTACTTTTGCGTGGTAAACGTAATCAAAAAACCGCGGTTTTTATTAAATAAATTATAACAGATTTAGTAAACGTGACCCTCTTAATCGAAGTGTACAATGTAGCCAAAGGTTCTCTTTAGATAACGGTTACCAGCGCTCAAACATCGGGATAAAATTTTTTGCAATTCTGGAAACATTTGGCGTTATTGCTGAACTGCTCAAAAAGCCATGGCGATAACATTGCAAACACAGGGTAGATCAGAGAGTAAATATACCTTCAAAAAAGAGTATCATAATCTGAGTCAAATGGTACCAAAGTCGTCCATGGATTGGTGTTTTGTGAATTTTAGTGAGCGATGAAAAAAAGGACAAAACCTTCGTGAGAAAAGAGAGGTTAGCGGTCAAAGAGTGCATGCATACTTTTGGTACGTTTTGTATCATATTTCAATTAAGCCAATTGACGAGATTTTTTCACAGCTAGGATACGAACAACAAAAATAGGCTGAGAATACGAAGATGTTGCGTTTTCAGTTTCTGTGCTAAAGCTGATCATCCTCAGTAAATATAAGGGCGTTCATTTTTATCGTTTTACTCACTTCCTTAAGTTATATTCTTCTTATTTTTCTAAGAAGTTTTGAGGTACCCACGACAGCACTCAGACATTCGCTCAATATTTGTTCTATGAGGTTGTCCGGAAATCAATGCCCGTTTTGAATTTCAACCGCAATAAGTCATACATTTCTCACTTCTGAATGGCTGCAAAGTATATCATTCGATAGGGCAAAGCAGGATGTACAAGAAGGCTCTCTTGCTTTTGCAACAGCTCTTATCCACCTCGAGTTTCAAGCCAAAAACTAAAAAGACTCAGCAGCCCGAAAAATCGAGAAAAATCGTAGCTCAATTATACTTACTCACGTAAACACTATCCGCATAGAAAATCTATGTACGTCGTTGCCGTATTTCTTCCTCTGTTAAAAACCAGGAAAACAATAAGTTTCGTGCATTTGCCAGAGTGATCCTGTGCTGTCCCCACATAGGTAGTTGTATACCACAAACCTGTAGAAGTACAGACTAAAATTTTCGGCTCTCTACTAGCTTTTGTTCTCGGGAAATAACGAATTTTCTCTAGTTAGGTGGTCCAAGCTAAAATTCAAATTTCTCGAGAACTAAAGCTTGTAGAGAGCTGAAAATTTACGTTTGTACTTCTACAGGTTTGTAGTATTGGGGACGGCACAGCATCACTTTGGCAAATGCACGTAAATTTCTGTTTTCTTGTTTTCTAAAAGAGGAAAAAATACGGCAAAGGCGTAGGAGATGTTTTATATGAATAGTGTTCAGGTGAACAAGCAAGAATTTTTCTAGGATTTTTATGGAGTGAGTTACTATTTTTTTCGATTTTTCGGATTGCTGAATCTTTTTAGTTTTTGGCTCGAAACTCGAGGTGAATAAGAGCTGTTGCAGAAGCAAAAAAGCCATCTTGTAGAGCTTGATTTGCTCTATCCAACGGTACTTTGCAACCTATTTAGAAGTGAAGTGTATGGCTCATTGCAGTTGAAATTTAAAACGGGCATTAATTTCCGGACAACCTAATGCTTAGGTTTTGGAACCGATATCTAAGAAGATCTAGATGTTCGGAAAGCCAAATAAAATCAAAACTTTCCTTGCAGGAACTCTCCACATTGGGTAATTATCTGCAGATTTGCTAATTTTTTGCTTTGGTAGAAATAGAGAAAAACGATTTTTATGTTCTTGCCGAAGCCGCGCTGACCTGCTTCCACACATTTTATTCTACAGTAAGAACCTTCGGTGAAAGTATGAATTTTAGCCTTTTACTGGTGATGATTTTTGAAAAGTATTAAATTTAAGGCAAGAACTCCGAAAAACACAACTCTTTTGTAGTGTAGGTGTGTTTTTCGACTTCTATTCATGGAAAAGATAAGCAAATTCAGGTATATCAAATGTGCATAGATAGTACATGCTTGAGCAAATGGGAAACCTGTAGGAAATTTTTGAACGGAGGTTGAGCATCTACATTTACTTAGACTTCGGCATTATCATGTCAACGAACTTTGAGCATATGTTTGGGTGCTCCGGTAAAGCTTGCTTTGTTCTGTCGATTGATGTCGCAAAACCTATTTACGATACAAGGAGATCGTTATTGCAGGAACAAGTGAAAACGGTAAAAAAAAATTTATGGCAGTGAATGTAGGGGGCTAATGATTTCATACTTTTTTTTTCAATGATTTATAAATGAGAAGACCAGGGTCGCTTTTGTAAAAGCATGCCGGATTCGTTTCACTACATTTTCATGGTTTGCTTCTCCTGCTGTGCAAGGTTTGCGTTGTTTAGGTGTCTTTATGAAAAGTTATGATTTTAGAGAAAAAAAGCCATAAACTTGCGTGTATTTGCTCAAAAATCGCAACTTTTGCAGAAAGCTTAATCAGCGCAAACTTGGTGTAGATAAAAGAAGCACGTTTAAGAACATATGACACTGGCAGCTCAGATTTTTGATGCAAGTCTCAAATTTTTTAGATCAAAGAAAAGAAAATCAAAATCTGAGTGTTTTTCCCTGCCGCCTCTACTTAAGCTACGTGTGCATTAGGAAACAGGCTAATGCAGTTACAAAAGCATGATTTTTAACCATGTAAATTTGAATGCATGCCATTCATAGGAAAATCAAGAACCTACGAACTTTGAAAATGATGCGAAAAAACTTTCCTTTCAAACTAATATGCAGGGTGTCTCAAGACGAACGTTGGATCTTTAGTTGTATGAGAAGCTTTCAACACTGATCTGTAGGATTAGCTTCATGTCGAATTTGCAGTATCGAATTAACCACCGATCGAAAAGTGCGACTGTCTTTGAATCTCGGCATGATGAATATTGTGTTGGTTTAATTGTTGAGCCACTCCGAGATTGGTAAATATATTTATTAGGCTGACGTTTAGGCTCTGAAGAAGGCAACGTAGCCGAAACGTCAGCATAATATATATATTTGCAAATCTCAGAGTTGCTCAACAATTAAACCAACACAATAACCACCGATCGCTCTAGTGTAAGATTATGGTAGGAATCGTGACGAAAATTCTGAGGTTTTGAGCCACTCCGGTTTTAATTTTAGCACGAGTCTGCACTTTACCGTTATGCTTCCTTTATAAGCTAAGTTAAGTATACCAAGATGCTGTGCATACAATGTTTTTTATTGAAATACTTACAATATTTGAAAGGATTTGCATACTCGTAAAAATTAAGTACACAGCCTTTCCTTTATTGGAATTTTCCCTCCAATCGCAATGACGCTGTATGCTAAAAGTTTCTACCGTGGCTCCACGGTAACGTGAAGGCTACTGCATGTTGAAGGCGCAGAAGCAGTATTAGTTGGGCGGGCGAGAACGCTGCGCGCACGCATCTAAATGCTAATTGACTGCATTAAGTTTATTGTCAATGACAAAGGACTTAATCCGATTTCTTTTTAGTATCCCACTACCCTTTTTAAGCAGATTTCCATCTACAGGCAGCCTTCTCATGTTGAGCAGTTCGCTATTTTTGCACAGAGAAAAGACATGACTCTCTTCAGAGTGATGTGTTGCAGTTAAGAACAGCATAATTGGAATCAGCGTTCAAGCTGATCCCAATTGTAGGGATGTCTTATACCATACTAGCTGGCTTACCCGGCTCCGCCGTATGTTCCGAATAGAAAATTCCATTTCTTAACCGATCCGGACCAAACTTGGCACACATACACTTCGGGCCCCGGCGGGTGTCACAGTCCACTTTTCGTTATCGATCGACGTCGCATGCTGATCACCCCCACGGGGGTGATCAGCATGCTTGATTACCCCCCTGTGCCAACTCCCAGCCCTGAAGCTCCAATTTTCCAAAAAATCGATAAAATCGATTTCGATCGATGACGAAAAGTGGCCTCTGACACCCGCCGGGGCCCAAAGTGTATGTGTTCCAAGTTTGGTCCGGATCGGTTCAGAAATGGAATTTTCTATTCGGAACATACGTACATACATACAGACAGACATACAAACAGACATTCAGATTTATATATAAGATGCTATCTAAGTTACCTGACATCCATTGTAAGTACAGCCAGCTCCACAACATGGTGTTTGCAAGACCGCCAAGTCCTCCATACAAAATGAGATCCCTGTGTAGTTTCATTTCACAAGTCCCTGAAGTGTTTTTCCGACTGTCATATAACCAAGTGGAATAAAGATTTTAAATTTATTCAACGCTTCCCTTCTCTTTCCAGAAGTCACATTTCCGAACAGATTACTCTTATTCACAAAAGTAGCTTTCAAGCCCATGCTTTCGAATTCCGCTCTAAAAACTCCCATTCTAGACTTTCAAAAGTTTTTTATAACTGGTAGATAGCGAACAAAGTGCAATACAGTGAATCATCTCAAATCTCGTACTACATTCCCCTTTCTACGTATTCTTTCTATACACTATTCCACTGCCACCACAAAGCTTCCGCAATAAACATGCTCATTTACCCCTTACAAACTCCTATGCGTCCCAGCTCCATACTGCAAAAAATCGGAAAAATCGACAAAAGCAATTGATGAACTTCGTAAAGGCTGAATTTTCAATAGCAGGCTCACCTACGCCACACCCCCTATGCACCCAACGTCCCACTTCAAAGATGCAAAAAGTGGGTTAATTTCAAAAATGGTTGTGATGCTTGCAAGCAGATATAGAAGAAGCCAAAATTCAAATCAAGGCAGTTTCTAAGATTTGGTAATATAAGCCGCATACCGATGAATGAAGTATGAATACAATGTGTTCCTTTTCTTCCAAACTTGTCCTAGCCTAAACTTCAGAAACACAGAATACATCGAGACTTTTGTTTAGAATGTCAGGAGCTTAAACACCAAACCTTACTTGGCCAGAAATCCCTGAAGAATTGGAAATACATCGTTTTCAGACTGGCTGCAGGAACGACAAGAAATTAGGCATAACGGTTTGCTGCTGTAAGACTGATCTCTGCAATGCGTGACTAAGAAATCGAAGTTCCAAGAGTGCAACATATACTGTGAGCCGATTCAAGTGCCGTGGCTCTTCTTTCGCTTCATTTTATGCTCAGAAAATAATTGTGAATCATATGAAACAACGCCTTTAGCTTCTGTCCTGCGTGGAATAAAGCTGCAACAGTCGTGTCTCACACTAAATATGAAACTATACAATAATCTCAAAAATTCAGTTACATCCTTCCACGTGAATGCAAACCTGGTAATAGACATTTTTGGTACAGCAACAAGTCGAAGAAATATTTGAAAGACCAAAAGCATTAGCGAGCAGAAAGATTAATGCGAGAGTCTTCTTATAAATGCAGTGTCAAGCATATGCATCTTAGAACTCTTAGGTTGCCCATAAGTCTTTTCATATTCGTACCGCCGCTAATTGGAAGAGCCTATGTATCTACAGGGTGGGGCAAAAGTCTGGGAGCCTACTTTGCAGTGGTGTAAATCAAGAAACTACTAATGTTTTTGATTCCGAATTTGTGCCACATAATGCTGCGATCATTCTCTACAAACCACACTTTACTCAGCTAGAAATGCTTGCCATGATTTTTTGTAAGAATTGCATTTATCAAAAAAGTGCCTCTAAAGAGCTAGAAAAACGAAATTTTTAGTATTCACAATTTATTTCGTAGCTGAAAATACTGGCAATATTCTACAACATTTTGACGCACACAATGTAGAGGAGACTTTGCGCTATCAATTCGTTGCGTTTGTCATAGACTATTCTTTCAAAAACGCAAAATAAAAATTTGCGAATACTACCTGCGTGCCAGTGGCCATTTTTCTTCAAAATAAATTTGAAAGCTATAGAAGCACAGCAGGCACTGAATTCTAGGCTACATTCTTTCCGTGAGTCTTCTATGCAAGCGTGTACTTGAGTTCGATTGATTAAGCAATTTCAATACTTTTCAGTTTACGATTCTTCGCTCCCGTGCGCGTAATCGCATCTAGATTTCCAGTATACATTGTACACTTGCCTTAAATTGAAATTCCGAAATTTTTTTTAAACACTGCAAAAAAGATTTCTTCGCAGTACGTTGCAGCCAAAAGCTTGCTCTATCACACCGCACAATCACCTAGCGAAAGAAACAGTTATCTCAAAGGCGTGGGACGAATTTCATCATAAGTGTCTGAGTGCCACGACAGGAAGACTAGCAAAGATTTCGAAGGGCTGCTTTGAAGCCAGAAGCGGCAATCTCAAAATTTGAAAGTAGCGCTGTATTTGTAAAGGCTCGATTTATGTGTGCACCAAATTTTTCATTCCTAGGCACTTTCCTTCTGATTTTATCTGAAAAAGTACTAGGCTCCCGCACTTTTGCCCCACCCTGTATATATCAATATCTGACGGGGAAATTTTATGCTTGAACAAGTGGGAACTTTGCAGGATGTTTTTGACCTGAGATACGATAATTTTTGTTTCTCGAAATTTTGGATTTTTTCCATTTTGTCCTGGAACTTGATGTGGATCAAGCCTGGTACAAACTTTTGAAAGCCGTTTTATAGAGCTTGCCTTGATCTTTCTGATTTTTCTGCGATTCCCATAAAAATTTGAGAAAAGCAGACTTGTGCTGGTGAAAAGTCAGATATGAAAAAAATTTGGGACAACCCAACACAATTGTCCCTGTCTTGATTATAAAGTTGAATTAGGGAAAGAAGGATAGAAGAAGTAGAAAGAAGGAAGGGTGTATAAACCAACATTTTCTAGGCTTTTATTCAATCGTGATTATTCCTCTTTTGACTGAAAAATGCTCACAGAAAGCATGATGAAGAACACCAAAAGACTACATAAAAACAACATACCGCAATCGCTTTGCGCAAGGGACATCTAAAAGTATTGGAAGAAAAGTTCTAATGCAGCCGTTGTGTAAGTATTAGACTGATGCAAATTTGATGCGCGCTCTTCTTATTTTTTCTATCAGCATTTTTCAAAGTATTCGCGCGAGTAAAGTGCAAAGTAAATGTTCTTGGGAATATGATGTTTAAAAAGGTGCTTCTTCTGATTATTTGCAATATACCTTCGCATTAGAGTCATAGACTTTTACTCATTTTTTATGTTGGGTTTTAAGCCTCTGAATACGAGAGACACGAAAGGCACGAAAGGCACAAGACAGTTACACTCTTTTTGTTCTACATCCATGTTTGATTGGCTGATCTATCCCAAAGAATATGCATAGGTATTGTGAAGTTTTGTTCTACAAATTGCATATCCATAAAGTTGAAGTTAATCCGTCCTATCAGCAATGTTGCAAAGATTGAACGCCGTTACCTCATTTACTGAAAGGGCTGGACGTTTCGTGACTTCCTTCAAAAATAAACAAGTGCTTGAAAGACCTCAGACCGAGCTATCTTCTTAAGCGGTTCGTCTTTTCATGCATTCAGAAAGCAAAAATTGCATGCATATGTCCTCTTTTTATCTTTATCGTTATCTCATACACGTGAACGAGTGCCAAAGCCTGTGTGAGTAAAGAAAACATTGATAGAGTAAGATAGTCTAGCCTGTCACCTTCAGAGGAACAAACAAACAACGAATAAGTACCTCAGGCGTTGAGGAAGAAAAAGTTTCTATTTGGTCAAGGGAGGTTAGGTGATTGGCATTGGGGAATGTCACTGCCACTTTTCCGGGCTGTCCAAACGTCTGCGATTGGTTCCTGCCAGGTATCCACCAATATGACACCACCGACGCTTGAATACACCGGTTTTATTCGGGGAAAGCCATGCACGAAGCGCAGCTGTCTACGGTCATCACAAGGAGCAGCGCTGTTGCTCATCCGAAAGTGGGTGGCAAGCCAGCCAAAGCATGGTTAGTAAACACGAAACTAAACCGGGAACACAAACACAATAAAACGAAAAAAAGAGGTCGTGAACCGACGTAGTAACAAAGGGCTTCACGCAGGCGGCTGTCGTAAAAGCGATGGTCAGCAAGAAATAGACCAGAAGCAAGCAGACCTGTAATGAAAATAGACCAAAAAGTCGCAAAGGATTGTTCAGTAATTGGCAAATATCAACTTTCCTCAGTTTCGTTCAGAACGCTAGCAGTTGTCAGTACTAAAAACTTCGCGGGTATGCACCGTGACCATCTAGCTCCCCGACAAAAAACATGATTGAAGAACAGGTTGGCATGTTTCCTCTCAACTTTTGGGTATGCAAGTTGAAACCACCGTGCCTATCGTAAGCAGGCATAAAGATCCGGTAATATTGCTAGGATTTAACTTGACTCGCTGTTCAATAAGGCGACAAGTCCTAAATATTGCAAATGTCTGATACTTTTACATAGTTATACAAAATATTTGAGAGGTCAGGGAATGCAGTAGTAAATAAGGAAAGCAAGTGAGTTGATTGTGTACTGCCTTGTGCAGGCTTTGAAATTTCTCTAATCTCCTGCGTCGAAGATCAACGAAATTGGAAGCTGCTTTCGTGATAATACTTGCCATGCATACAAAACAACAAGAGCTTCGGATGATTGCGGGAAATTTTTGAGTGGGTCTTTGAACGTGTTCCGCGCTGTATAGAAAACACATAATAAGCCAATATAAAAATATCATTTTCCTCTACTTTCCAGTGCCAAATGTGACATTTTTCAATGATTAAGGCAATACAGAGAAGTGACTTCCATGGATTTACTTTCGAAGGTTTATAGAATGCAATTATGTACGTAAATAAATAGCGCGAATGTAAGTGAAAATAGCGCATGTCGTATTTGCCTTTTCAACCATCAATTTCTTTTCATTTTACAGCCGTGAAAAAATGCAGCAAGTGTTTGTGTGACAGTGCGTGCGCGTACAGTACATGCTCATTGGGTAGGGATAGATTTTTCGGGCTGTAATCTAGTTTTGGGGCACTCACTCAGTGTTTCCAGATTTCGACTGCAAACATCTGGGAAATACGACTTATGTAGATGCGTAGTCATTCCGTCAAGCATGTATCGGGAGTGCCCCGAAATGTACAAAATGTACTTGAAAATTATACTGCGGCTGTAGCAGAAGAAATGTTCATTACTTTCGCTCCAACCTAATATCAAAGAAATGTCTTAATAAATCATCGCGATAGATATGCTCATCCGTTGACGTAATAAAATGAAACTTCGCTAGTGCAGATATAGCAAACAACAATTTTAACTCCAAAACGAATGATTTTGCACATATGTTTATTATACAGTAGATCGGACATGAACTAACGCCTGTGGGTGGAAGCAAAGGACCGGTGCCAGTGACTCCGGCTCAGATGAAGTAACTCCAACAGCTTTCTGCAGATTTGCAGCTTTATCTGCATAAGTACTCATAAATGCACAGCAGCGTTCAAAGTCCCATGTACATTATGAGCCTTGTAAGCACGCCAGATTTAAGTAGTAATTGCATCTGGAAGTGTTTTCACAAAGGGTTCGGCACTCGTGCATTTATTATGTGCGAGTTTGCTATGCAGTTGTAGAATTTGTAAGTTTGCCTGTCACAACTGTGCATTGGTCACCGCAGAAGTCCTGCGCTCATCCTGCGCCGAACGCGCCATAAATCACGTGAGCTGGGCAACAGCCACTGCACTATAGGTGGCCATGCTTGACGAACGAACAGTGCACTAGGCACATGGAACAGTTGCCGAGTATAAACGATAAGCAACATCTTTGGCGCTAGCTATGACTGTGAGCGGTGCTGCATGAACTGGACGATGACGCCTGGTTGAGCCGGCATGACGCCAATTTCGAGCCATGCTGCGGTAACGACTTCCATTAATTAAGTTGGTCAACAGCGAAAAGTTCCGATTGGGCATGAGACGCGCTCCGAGCATGCTTTCACGACTCAAAAGGAGATTCTATATGAGCCCTGGTATCTCATAAACCGCTTAGTATGCGGTTTATGAGATACCAGTCTGGCTGCGTTAGCTAAACCCTGCGTTAATCGCAGTATTTCTCACTTGTAATCTAATTTGCACCCAAATTGGTTTTGTCTGTGGAAATACTTTCGGTCTTCTATTTATGCTTTAGAACGCTTTTGAAGAAGTCTCTTAGGAGCGTGAATGGCATAGGTTTTTTGCTTTGCCTTCCGATATT